AATCGGTTCAAGCAGTCTTAGACCTAATACACTCTATCTTAGGCCTAATATAGAACATATAGATACTATATTAGGCCTAGGAATGTTAAGTGCAAAATTCGAACATTGTTGACTTCATTTTTGTACTTTCGACCAAATAATTGCTATAAACACTACCATTTTAGGAGGACGGGTTCCGGTGTGAATACTCACGTGACGGAGTGCAGAGCGATCTCGTGGCCGAGTCTGTGGAGCTCGTTGACTTTGCTGTAGTCGCAGTAGAGGTGCGACACGAAGAACGTCATGGAGATCCGGCATTCGTTCGGGTTCACGAAGTCCTTGAAGTCCAGGTAGAAGTCGAAGTTGGTGGTGGTGATGGCGTCGTCGTAGGAGAGGACGACGAACTGCGGCACATCTTCCAGGGAGAGGCCTCCAGGAGGCTCCGTCGACCCGCAAAGGCAATTCGGCAGGAAGCAGTTTACATCCTGCTGGCACTCTTCGTCCTGTTGGGAGATGTGGAGGAGGAGGTCGTTTTTGGTCACTGTATAAGGCAGAGGTGTTTGGGGAAGTCTGTAATAGCTAGTAACAGTGGGAGTGGGGAGGGGGTGGCCACTGAGGGAGCTAGTGACGTACTGCCCCATTTTCTGTTTTGGGTCCTCTGGCTAAGGGTAGGTTTCCTCTCCTGACCTATAAGGTTAGGAAAGAAAACTTTCAATTAGCGGTTTTCATGATGTTCTGAAGTCTTAGGAGCACTTCCTGCCCTTCTAACCTACCAGAGGACCCTTAACCTGCTCTTTCGTAAAAAAAAAAAAAAAAAAAAAAAAAAAAAAAAAAAAAAAAATCCAAAATATATTTTCAATTATTTTTCATTTTCAAATTACGGCCGTTTTTGGCCGTAACGCACACGAGCGAAAAGCGACGTAATTTGTAAGGGAACGGGTAGCTCTGATGACGTCTAAGGAAGACTGGAACGGCAGGAACGACCCTGTTTTACCTGTTGACACGCGTACCGTACTTGTCCATGGGGAGGGAGGGGGAGACTGGGGGAAATGGAAGAAGAAAAAAGTACATGTAGGATGAAAGAGAAGGCAATACAGAGAAGGAGGAGGTTGTAGAAAAGGAGAAGGAAGTGGTGGAGAAGATGAAGGTGACAGAGTAGTGGATGGTGGCTGTTACGACCCTGGGTTCCTCAAGTGGAAACCAGAGGTCAAAATTGAACTAAATAAGCTACGTTAGATTAGCAAGACGCAAGTCGATGTGTCTCTGTTCGTATCTTCCCTGCCACGTTCCAGACTCATGAACTCTTTGCTCGCTAATGTGCCAAATTGTCGTGCGTATTTAGATGATATCGTGCTCTTTGACAGTAATTGGGCTGACCACATAGCTAGGTTACGCCAGTTGTTCGCAATCTTGAAAAAGGTAAATCTTACCTTAAATGCAAAAAAGTGTCATTTTGGCCAAGGGACAGTGACGTACCTCGGTTATGAAGTGGGCCAAGGAAAAGTGTTACCTCGGCAAGATAAAATCAGTGCCATTCTGGAGTATCCCGTGCTTCAGTCTAAAAAGGACATTCAACGATTTATCGGTATGTGTGCGTACTATCGACGCTTTTGTCAGAACTTTTCCAGTGTGGCCACTCCTCTCACAGACTTGTTGCGGAAGGCCGTTAAATTTAAGTGGTCATCAGACTGTGCAGAGGCATTTAAAAATTTGAAATTGATCTTAGCTTCCGCCCCAGTGCTTGCTAGTCCAAGGTTCGACCGACTGTTTAAAATTCATGTTGACGCATCTGACTCGGGTGCTGGTGCAGTGTTGTTGCAAACTGGGGATGATCAGGTGGAACACCCAGTATATTATTACTCTGTGACATGTGACAAGGTGCTACGCAATTATTCAGTGGTAGAAAAAGAGGCGTTGGCGCTAATATTAACATGTAAAAAGTTTGAAGTTTACCTCACAGGTAATATGGTGGAAGTGTACACGAACCATAACCCACTAGTCTTTATGAATCAGATGAAGGGGAAGAATAAACGCATCCTCAAGTGGGCATTGTACCTACAGGACTTAAATCTTTCCATTACCCACCTACCGGGCCGGCTCAACGTGATAGCCGACGCTCTGTCCCGGTTGCCTGAATAACATTCATCTGAGCCACAGGAAGCCGTTTACCAACTGTCATGCTTTAGTTATTTTTTTTTTAGGTTCTCCTGTGACATTAAATATTCCGTGTCCAATTTATTTACTTCCCTTTTTTTTCTCTCTTTCAGAGAATTCCTTTGTACTTTTCTTGCAGAGAAATTGTTGTTTTGATTGATTTTTCTTTTATGGCATAGATTTTCCTTTTTATTCTCTGCATACTCTTACAAAAAAATATGACTACTATTCTAGTAGTCACATTTTTTTTCTCTCTGAAGGGGGGAGGAGTGTTACGACCCTGGGTTCCTCAAGTGGAAACCAGAGGTCAAAATTGAACTAAATAAGCTACGTTATATTAGCAAGACGCAAGTCGATGTGTCTGTTCGTATCTTCCCTGCCAAACGTAGGACGAATCTTGTTGCTCACAAGCATTCAAACTCTTGAGCTTGTTGTGGATTAAGTATAACAATGTTATAAGATTAACTACCCTGAGAACGAGGAAAGTAACAATATGTTGAATAGGGGAAGATTTTTAATGTGTTTAGCTGCACGATCAATTAGGCTCCTCCCGGCACCACCACAATGCGGGAGGCCTGAGCTGGTCGCTGGAAGCGTTCTTCTCTGGCTGGCGTTCGTGGTGTCGAGACTTACTCAATGGCTGCACCCCTACTCTGTGGCTGCACCTCCCCTCTTCTACCTTCTCCTCTTACTTATTTCCCTTACCTTAAGTTCCTGTACTATTAAGTTAAGTACGGTGTGTTTTAAGTGTGCCTACTCTGGTAGCAAAGATTGGTGAGACCTGGGGGTAGTATTTGCCAGTGTTTTGGGTACCCCTAAGTGTTGTATTTTTGTATTAGGATACCACGTGGTCTCACTACCCTAAGCTGCATCCAGCTTCAGTGCTTATCCAGTAGTACTTTACCCTAGCTTGTTCACAGTGTAAACCTTGTATCCTGTCTATGTGGACCAAGGCTTTTAACGTAAGATAGTGTGGTAAAGTAATTATTATTATTGTTATTGGTGTGAGTGTATATGGGGGGTTGTTAAGGGGTTAATAAATAAGTAAGTTAGTAACGGAGTATCCCTTCTTCCTGTGTGGGAGTGCTATGATCAACCTCTCGTCTGACATGGTCTAGTAGCAAGTTATTATTACTGTGGATAGTTTGTTTTGGGGGCCGGGCCTTTTAGTTCTCCCATATTTGATAACTCTGTATTCTAACTACCCTTACCCCTTAATAGTAATAGTTCCCCCATAGCAAGTCCACCATTTTCATAACAGTGGCGGAGATAAAGATGCTTACCTAACTACGGGAAAGCGACGTCTAGCTCATAAATGCCCTGCTTACGTTCTCGAGCTAAAGCTCCCAACTATGGAAGATATTCTTGTGCTCTACCCAGAGTTTGCTAGTCCAGGCTATTAGACCAGACTTGCATCTCATGATTTCTGCTGATTCCATGTATGACTAACCATCCTGTGAGATGGGGATAGTACTTGAACTCATAGTTAACTTTTGAGCTATACTTAGGTACACAATGTTGTTTATGCCTAAGCAGCCTGTTAAGAAAAAAGAACTGATCTCTTTATAACTATTGTGTTATAATTTAATTCGCCTGGTCGTTCGAATTTTATAAAAAAAAGGAAGAGGTTATCTCCTCTAGTATTTTTCTATAATTAAAATGTTACTAAAGGGGAAGGAAAGACCCAATGTATGCGTAAGTGCATTATTAATAACCAAATTTTCAGATGTAATCTATATCCATTGTATACAGCGTCTTGAGGATGTATGAAGTTACATCCGAAAATTAGGTTTTTAATGCACTTAAACATATATTGGGTGACAGTGTCAGACCACGAAGGAAGAATTGAAACAGGAATTTCCTTAAGTACTTTCGTATTTAATAATACATCTTCAGAAGGATTCTTATTAAATACGAAAGTACTTCAGGAAATTCCTGTTTCAATTCTTCCTTCATGGTCTGACAATGTCACATTTTTCATCACGTGTTAATTTTCGTAATTTGCACACATATATTGGGTCTCTCCTTCACCTTCATTCAAGCACTACGGCATTGTAGTAACTTTTTCTAAAATGTTATTGTCATTATATTATTATTATTATTATTGAGAAAATCATTTGGAGCAATGCGGGAATTGTGTGTACATTATTATTATCATCATGATAGCCTAGTGGGCGAGCTTACCGCAGCAGGAGCGGAGAGAGCAGAGGCTAGCACCAGCAGGAGCACCAACAGCAGGGACCAGTAACTCTCCATGCTCGTACAGGAGCCACAGAACATCTGGGGCCCGGAGCCACTCCGCACCTCGATATATACACCTTGAGGATAACACACGAATATAAAAGAAATCTCTGATATGGATATGTGGCAATACAAGCCACACGCTCCACCTATCCCAACAAAGCCCCTCTCCCCTTGCCTCGACTCATCGCCACCCTCTACCCCTCCTCCACTCCCTCCCACCAAAGCCATCCGCCTCGTTCCCTCCAAAACCCACTTTCTCCTCCCCCCCCTCCGCCACCCCTTCCCAAAAACTGTATCTTTTAGCACACTTAAGTTATGGAAAGGTGACTCGCTGTCTCAGATCAGACGAAGCGCGAAGGACCAAAGTGTAAGAGCAAATAAGAAGATTAAGAAAGAGAGAGGAAATATTGAGAACAAAAATTGCTGCAGAACTTTTCAGAAAGAAGTTTTATGAATTTTGGGATTAAATATTAAAAATAATAACTTTATGTAAAAGCCTCACGGATGTCATAGATGACACCTCTGGGCCCCATAAAATATCTAATGCTTCCGGTGGATGTAGTATACATGCATTTCGCTAAAGCCTTTGATAAGGTACCACATGAAAGACTGGCAACGAAATTACAGGCCCATTGTATAAATAGTAAAATATTAGAATGTATAAAACAATGGTTGAAAGAAAGAACACAAAGGGTCGTGCTAAATGGGAACGAATCTGAATAGAGAAATGTGGTAAGTGGGGGTGCTACAGGGGTCCATTTTGGGGCCTACCCTTTTTGGCATATACATCAATGACATAGATGAGAATATTACAAACCACATCATCAAATTTACAGATGACTCAAAGATGTATGGTAAAGTGGGAAATCATAATGATATTGAAGCCTTACAAAGAGATCTACATGAATTCCACAAATGGTCGAGACTAGTAATTGCTTTTTCACCTACAGGGTTATAAGCCCATGGAACCGCCTACGTAAATACCAAAACTGTGCTAAGTTTTAAAATCTACCTGAAAAAGAATAAGGCAAATGGGGGGACCTTCGACAAGCCGCCGGCTTTCTGTCCTCGTTTGGGCCATTAGGGTTAGTGGCCCTCGGGTAAATCAGGTGTTCAAAGATTAATATTCGCCGTTGAACCACAATGCACTATACAGGATATATGTGACTGAACCTGACCTCTAACTACTACAGCTGTACGGAACACCTGTTTATGTCTTGCCTACAATTTTCAACACCTGCACTCTGTATCCCCCTGTAATGGTTGTTGTAACAGTTGGTAAAGACGCTAAAAACGGGAGGTATTATTTTTAACATGTCTCTTTAACATCTCCACTGACAACATGAAAGTGAGACGCTGAGACTCAGCATTTATCTGTGCATGTGTTGTACAGACTTTATCTCCCACGGCACATCGCTATCACCAACACCTGTACGTGTTCCCACTACAAGGACTCTCCAGCAACTTTGTCCTCGTCTCATGGCTACCCAACCATTTCCCTTCACACGTTATATGATAATAATTCATTTTGTCTAGGGACATGAAGATATATTTATATCTTGTACGTACACACATGCGCATTAGGCTACACGTTAGGCGCTTATATCGAAATCCCCACCGAAGGTCGACAATATTTAACTAACTCTCGGGCACCTATTTATTGCTAGGTGAACAGTGGCATTAGGTAAAAGAAATATGACTAATCATTGCTGTCCCGGCTGGGGTTCGAACCCGAGGTATACTGTAGTCCTGAACATAGTCCTAATGTAAACTCTGTATACACTGAGAAGCAAGGTACACCTCTCTATACATATCCTAGCATATATATATATATATATATAATATATATATATATATATATATATATATATATATATATATATATATATATATATATATATATATATATATATATATGTCGTACCTAGTAGCCAGAACGCACTTCTCGGCCTACTATGCAAGGCCCGATTTGCCTAATAAGCCAAGTTTTCCTGAATTAATATAGTTTCTCTAATTTTTTCTTATGAAATGATAAAACTACCCATTTCATTATGAATGAGGTAAAAATTTTTTATTGGAGTTAAAATTAACGTAGATATATGACCGAACCTAACCAACCCTACCTAACCTAACCTAACCTATCTTTATAGGTTAGGTTAGGTTAGGTAGCCGAAAAAGTTAGGTTAGGTTAGGTTAGGTAGGTTAGGTAGTCGAAAAACAATTAATTCATGAAAACTTGGCTTATTAGGCAAATCGGGCCTTGCATAATAGGCTGAGAAGTGCGTTCTGGCTACTAGGTACGACATATATATATATATATATATATATATATATATATATATATATATATATATATATATATATATATATATATATTATTAAATATGACCGAAAAAGTAAGATTAATAATTCTAACACGAATTTTCTCAATCTTTCGTACATTACGCTTCACTGTTGGAGGTAAATCAAAAATCACTTCTCCAAAATTCATTTTTATTTCTAGTCTGACGCGACACGGGCGCGTTTCGTAAAACTTATTACATTTTCAAAGACTTCACAAATACACAACTGATTAGAACTTACGTCTCTCTGATATTATATCTACATTTGAGTGAGGTGGGAAGGGTGATGTGGCATTAACACAAGACAGAACAGGAGGGGATATTAATAGGGTATTAAAAGTATCAACACAAGATAGAACAGAAACAATGGGTATTGAATAGAAGTGTTTGTAGAAAGCCTATTGGTCCATATTTCTTGATGCTTCTATATTGGAGCGGAGTCTTGAGGTGGGTAGAATATAGTTGTGCAATAATTGGCTGTTGATTGCTGGTGTTGACTTCTTGATGTGTAGTGCCTCGCAAACGTCAAGCCGCCTGCTATCGCTGTATCTATCGATGATTTCTGTGTTGTTTACTAGGATTTCTCTGGCGATGGTTTGGTTATGGGAAGAGATTATATGTTCCTTAATGGAGCCCTGTTGCTTATGCATCGTTAAACGCCTAGAAAGAGATGTTGTTGTCTTGCCTATATACTGGGTTTTTTGGAGCTTACAGTCCCCAAGTGGGCATTTGAAGGCATAGACGACGTTAGTCTCTTTTAAAGCGTTCTGTTTTGTGTCTGGAGAGTTTCTCATGAGTAGGCTGGCCGTTTTTCTGGTTTTATAGTAAATCGTCAGTTGTATCCTCTGATTTTTGTCTGTAGGGATAACGTTTCTATTAACAATATCTTTCAGGACCCTTTCCTCCGTTTTATGAGCTGTGGAAAAGAAGTTCCTGTAAAATAGTCTAATAGGGGGTATAGGTGTTGTGTTAGTTGTCTCTTCAGAGGCAGAGACAACTAACACAATAGGCTTTCTACAAACACTTCTATTCAATACTCATTGTTTCTGTTCTGTCTTGTGTTGATACTTTTAATACCCTATTAATATCCCCTCCTGTTCTGTCTTGTGTTAATGCCACATCACCCTTCCCACCTCACTCAAATGTAGATATAATATCAGAGAGACGTAAGTTCTAATCAGTTGTGTATTTGTGAAGTCTTTGAAAATGTAATAAGTTTTACGAAACGCGCCCGTGTCGCGTCAGACTAGAAATAAAAATGAATTTGGAGAAGTGATTTTTGATTTACCTCCAACAGTGAAGCGTAATGTACGAAAGATTGAGAAAATTCGTGTTAGAATTATTAATCTTACTTTTTCGGTCATATTTAATAATATATGTCTACAGGAAAGACTGCTACCAAAATATACTAATATATTATATATATATATATATATATATATATATATATATATATATATATATATATATATATATATATATATATATATATATATATATATATATATTATATATAATCCTGGTGTTATGTGCACTAGTATACCACTGTATGTGTAACTGTCATAATATTTTAGTATATATACTAGTGTATTATAATATGAGTACTCTAGTTTTACATATGTGCTAGCATTATACCATGATACGTGAAGTATATTTAAATCAATAAAATTTACAGATTTAAACATACAAAAAAAGGCCCGTAAAATTAACTTCGGTTTTAGGTAAATTTTGAATATTACATAAATATTGAATATGGAATTTTGAATATTACATATTTGTGGGGTAAATTTAAAAATGCTTTGTGGTCTAAACAAAGACATAGTTCAGATGGACGCATGCAAATTATGTAAATTAAGAGGATTAATTTGCATTGAGTAGGGGAGGGGGGGGGGTAGGTAGAGTGGTGGGTTATTATAACTTAAGGCTGTACCTGGCAGGTTGATGGGGGTAGAGTCTGGTGATGGTGTAGATTAGTGGCGGGGTAGATTCTTGATGAGGTAGTCTCGTGATGGGGTAGATTAGTGACGGGGTAGATTCTTGATGAGGTAGTCTCGTGATGGGGTAGATTAGTGACGGGGTAGATTCTTGATGAGGTAGTCTCGTGATGAGAGTAGACAAGTGATGGGGTAGTTACGTGATGGGGGGTCTCGTGATGGGGTAGACTAATGATGGGCTAGACTTGAGATTATTTTATTAGCATTATTTTTTGTTTATATCGGTGGGTACAGGAATAGACGACTTGTGGCTCCTGTTTGTAGGCTTAGAGCTCTTCCCTTCCCATAGCTCATTGTAAGCCTCAGTCCTACTAGGTTTCCCCTGGAACACAACCCACAAAATGTGTTCATCCTGGTCGACAATTACTGCTGGGTGACCAGCTACGGACTGTTGCCCAGTCGATCCTCCCTGACGGACGGTCGCACCCAGACGGAATCTCTCACACAAGCGATATATATATACAAGAGGTATACCCCCATTTATCAACAAAGGTACACCGAGTTTACGTTAGTTATGGTCTACAATGAGGTGTATACTTGCTGGTTGGTCAGTGAGCCTATGTCAGCACCCAAATAACCCTTGAGCATTTAATAGGCCTATGGTAACACATTCGCACCGCACCTCGCGAGTGATTTGGTCTGGGTTCGAGTCTTGGCCAGGGAGGACTGTCTAGGCGCCAATCTTTAACCATTCGCCCCTGTTCGCCCAGCAGTAATTGCGAACCTGATTGTTAACCGTTTGAAGAGTCTAGCTCCAAGGAAA